TCACTCACACACTGTGGGTCTCACTCACACACTGTGGGCCTCACTCACACACTGTGGGCCTCACTCACACACTGTGGGTCTCACTCACACACTGTGGGCCTCACTCACACACTGTGGGTCTCACTCACACACTGTGGGCCTCAGATCCCCTTTAACTCTTACAAATTATTCAGGGCCCCAAAGAGATTTTGTTTATCAATATTGATCATATTTGAAGATAAAATGGAGAACACCTTAACATATATTTGTCAATTTATTTTAAAAGAAAGATAGTAAACCCTTTCCATAAATAACTTAATTTTGTTAAAAATAACTACGGTTTCCAAAAGCAAAAATCATGAGAAGAGTGGCATCAGTTTTTGCATTTCTGCAGATCTCTTGAACATCTGGCTTAGTGCAAGTCAGCTGGATTTTCATATCTGTATCTGAGCTGGTCCTGTTGAAGTACTGGGTGTTAGCGCGACTGATGTATAGCGTGAAGGTCTGCTCTCACTGAGATACGTAGTTGTAAAACAGAGCCGTATTTTAGTATTCTCTTCAGATAGTTGTGCATATTTTTTCTTTAATACCACACTAAAACTGTACAAGTGCTAGTTTGTAAAAGTTATTTGCAATATGGAATCTGGAACCACATGAATTAGTTTTTTATATTTTGATCTATTAACATCCACTGGTCTGTCTTCCACTGTATTTATTTATTTAAAAAAATTTAAATTTGTATAAATTTACGGGTACAAATGTAATTTTGTGACGTGGATAGAGCACATTGTCGTGAAGTCAGGGCTTTTAGAGTGTCCGTCACCTGAATAACGTACACTGTACCTATGAAGTAATTTTTTATCATCTGCCCTCCTCCCACCTCCCTGTCTTCCACTTTGAACGGATCTTTTTCCATGCAGGATTTTGTGACATGATGCATGAATCATCTGGAAAATATTCAGTCACCGAGTTTTGCACATCTCCTAAATGTGGGCATATTTCATTTTATAGTATCAAAAATTCTTTAATATCCTTACTGATCACGTTAGAAAGCCATAAGTACTGGAATGCTGTCAAGCTCATGGTGGTGGATACACATTTTGCAAAATTCTAATTTTTGCTTGAAAGCTCTAATTTTATCATTGGCAACAAATCCCGTCAGTGGCTTCTTAAACTTGCAAACTCCACTTCTTTCATTTTAGAGAAAATGCTGGCCAGACACGGTGGCTCATGCCTGTAACCCCAGTGCTTTGGGAGGCCAAGGTGAGAGGATCGTTTGAGGCCAGGGGTTTAAGACTAGCCTGGGCAACATAGTGAGACCTCATCTCTACAAAAAATAAAAAAGAAAAATTATCTGTGCATGGTGGCGTGCACTTTTAGTCTAGCTATGCTGAGGGGAGAGGGGAGGATAACTTGAGCCCAGGAGTTCAAGCCTGCAGTGAACCAGATTAAGGGCTGAGATTGGGTATATCCAAGTCTGAATAGTCACAATTTGTCTCTCAGTCTTTCTTATTTAGTTTTATTTATTTTTTATTTTTTTAAAGCAGGGTCTCGCTCAGTCACCCAAGCTGGAGTGCAGTGGCATAACTGTGGCTTAGTTGAACTCCTGGGCTCAAATGATCCTCCTACCTCAGCCTCCCACTACAGGTGCATGCCCCCACACTTGGCTAATGTGGGGTCTCACTATGTTACCTAGTTACCCAGGCTGGTCTCAAACTCCTCGGCTCGAGCAATCCTCTGTCCTTGGCCTCCCACAGTGCTAGGACTACAGATGTGAGCCACCGCGCCTGGCCATCAACTTTTCTTCCAAGTAAAGATGGTGTTCCATGAAAACTGTGGCTCGTTGAGCTCACAACTTAAAACACTTGCACAAATGCTTTTTGCACATTATCCTTGGATGTGCATGAAAGAGCTTTATGTGTAGTTACCATTTCTTTACACAGGATAATAAAAAGAGCTGTACTCACAGGTTGAAATTTAATAAAAATAATTTTTAATGCTTTATCAAGACCCTTCTTAAGTGTAACTGACTATTGAACATGAATGCCTAATGGGAAAGAATATAATGAGTATTAGCTGCAATCTTGATTTGTGCCAAATCACCTGCATTCTTACCTACCACTGCCTTTGCACCCTAGTGCAAATGTCAACACAACAAAAAAAGCAATTAACATCTTGTGTTTTGACCTCATGGACACCCTGAACGTATCTTGGGGATTCCCATAGCCCATGTTTGGAGACCTGCTGGTTTAGACCCCTGAAGGTCTACCTTTGTGGTGCTGGGCTCACGGCTTCCCCAGTCCACGTGGCCTGAGAGGATGGAAGGAGCAGTTCCCCAAAAGAAATCCGAAGTTTTTCATTTTGTTTTTGTTTGTTTGCTTTGTTTTGTAAGGGAAAAAATAAAAGTGAATGGATATTGAATGGCCAAAATAATAGTCTTCCACACTGCACTTACCATGGATACTGTTCTATAACCTACATTCTCTAAATTCCTTCATATAATAATAGCAGGTATATACCATGTTCCCACTATGTGCCAGGCTCGGTGCTGTTTTATTTATAAATGTTTTCTCACTTCACCCTTAGTGGTCCTTTGAGAGTAGGGACATCTTATTTTGCAGATGAGGATGTTTGTAGCAGTTATTTACCTACAGACACTCAGTTAAGTGGTGGAGCTTGGATTCGCTTCTAACTCGTTTCTAGGTCAAGATCCCAAAATGCAACATATTATGCTGTGCAGCTAAATATATTTTAATAAATAGATGATTTCTCAGTTTCTAAATCAACAGTAGACTATTTATTTATTTATTTATTTATTTTTATTATACTTTAAGTTCTAGGGTACTTGTGCACAACGTGCAGGTTTGTTACATATGTATACATGTGCCATGTTGGTGTGCTGCACCCATTAACTAGTCATTTACATTAGGTATATCTCCTAATGCTATCCCTCCCCTATCCTCCCTCCCCACAACAGGCCCCAGTGTGTGATGTTCCCCACCCTGTGTCCAAGTGTTCTCATTGTTCAATTCCCACCTATGAGTGAGAACATGCGGTGTTTGATTTTCTGTTCTTGCGATAGTTTGCTGAGAATGATAGTTTCCAGCTTCATCTATGTCCCTACAAAGGACATGAACTCATCCTTTTTTATGGTTGCATAGTATTCCATGGTGTATATGTGCCACATTTTCTTAATCCAGTCTGTCATTGTTGGATATTTGGGTTGGTTCCAAGTCTTTGCTCTTGTGAATAGTGCCGCAATAAACATACGTATGCACGTGTCTTTACAGCAGCATGATTTATAATCCTTTGGGTATATACCTAGTAATGGAATGGCTGGGTCAAATTATATTTCTAGCTCTAGATCCCTGAGGAATCGCTACACTGTCTTCCACAATGGTTGAACTAGTTTACAGCCCCAGAATCTACAAAGAACTCAAACAAATTTACAAGAAAAAAACAACCCCATCAAAAAGTGGGCAAAGGATATGAACAGACACTTCTCAAAAGAAGACATTTATGCAGCCAACAGACACATGACTCTTTCATTCAGTGAAATTTTAAACAGTAGCCTGATCTGTAAAACAGACCAAAGCAATGCTGACTGGTTGAAGGGGAGGTAATCTGTATTGTCTGAAGGGGATTAGACAGCCTCAGTGTCCCTCTGGTCCTTGAGCAGCCCCCAAGGTACTGTGAAGAAACTATTGGGGTTCCCTGGGTGCATATCAGTTTGAAAATCTCTGTTCCTGTAGCATAATCTTTAAATATCACCCATATCTCTGAGTTGTAGAAGAGAAAAGTTGTTTTGCAGAAAGCCTTTGGGGAAAGTGGCTTGCTTTGTTTTCCTGTATGTTAATCTGAACTTTTCGCATCGTAAAAGGAGTCGATGTAGGGTTTTCGTTTGCGCCCCTCCAGTAGTACATTTCAGGTGTGATGGATATAGTGATAGTAATGCAGAAGCTCCTTCCTGGGGTGAGAGACAGCGTACAGGGTGGCGGGAAGGCACCCGCACAGGAGGAGGAAGACCTGGGCCTTGGTCTGGCCTCCTCACGAATCACTATGTCACCCTCTCTGTCCGTGTCTCAGTTGTCTCATATCATTCTTAGATGGCGGCTCAGGGTTAAGTGGTGGCTCTTAACCTTTTTTTGGTCCCAGGCCTATGTGAGAATTTGAAAATGCTCTAAATGAATATTTATGGAAAAGTTCAAGTTTGCATTGCATAGGTTTTTGTGTACTGCTTGGAGACAGGAAGAGAAGGATTTCCCATGTTAAGAACTCTTGAGTTGGGTTATTTTATTTTTTTTAGATGGAGTCTGGAGTGCAGTGGCGCAATTTCGGCTCACTGCAACCTCCACCTCCTGGGTTCAAGTGATCCTCCCGCCTCAGCCTCCCAAGTAGCTGGGATTACAGGCATGCACCACCACACCTGGCTAATTTTTGTATTTTTAGTAGAGATGGAGTTTCACCATGTTGACCGGGCTGGTTTGGAACTCCTGACCTCAGGTGATCCGCCTGCCTCTGAGTCCCAAAGTGCTGGGATTACAGGTGTGAGCTGCAGCACCCTGCCGAGTTGGGTTAATTTTAAGATTCCTTTCATCCATTCCTTTGTAAAATATTAATATCAGGCAAATGTGGAATTATTGAAAAATAAATTTCATTTGTGTTTCCAGATAATTAAGAATTAGCAATTTCAGCATAATTTTTATAAATGATTATTAATAAGCTGTATGTGGTTTGCTGGTAAATATTAAAGTGTATTATGATAAATTACTAACTTAAAAATGACAACTCTCTAATTCGGTCCCTGACAAAATAATAAATCAGAAGTATTTGTCTTCTATTCTTGGCTTCTGGCTAGAGGTCATTAATTATTTAACTACATTAAGAAATAGGAATAAAATTATAAGAATAATAGAAATATAGTTATAATAATTTGTAAGCATATAAAGATCTTTTTCCGAATACGCATTTTATATTTTTACTGAAAAAATAATTTTGCTATTTTGTGGCTTTTTTTCCAGATACTTTGAGAAAAGTCATACAGAAGGCACGTGAGTCCAAAATTGATTATGATAAGGTAATTTTTCATTGGTGTATTTATTATTAAAAATATGAAGTATGAGAAACATTTTGGCTGACTTGAAAGTAAATCTTTAAACAACCAGTTATTCAATCTGCAATTTTAGTAACCTTTTTTGACTAAGAACTTTCATGGAATATTGAACCACCTTACAAATCCCATTTGAACCATAGCAGAAATTTCAAAAGTAGCATTTGAAGAAAGCCTTTCAAGTTGTATGTTATTTAAAAATTAAAAAC